GACTGTCCATTTATTGAAAAACTAGTAACTTTTTTCCCCCTGTAATCCATTTTAAATGTACCCATAATACAGAACAGCACCACAAAATGTGTATTGTAATGTGGAGCTAAATTCAAAATCTGTCTTAAAACATATAGGCTCCAGTTACTGCACTGTATTAGCATTTTGATAGGGGAAACTTCATGTGTCAAGAACATATATGACAGAAACAAGAAATGTTTTTTAAAATTGAGTTGTTAGAACATAGGACCTCTCTCTCTAAATCTAAGACTGTGAATGGGGAAAGAGAGTTACAATTTGTTTTAGATTATCTTAATGGAAGCCTAATTTGCATTCAAAGGACTTTCACCCAGGAAAAGAGAGAGATGTCTATTGTAGTAATGACACATGAGATACTCATTTTGGCTTTAACAGGGACAGGTATATCAGCAATCTTTAGCCTGAGTGCAGAATAAGCTAATGAATATTTGCATGCATAAGGAGACACATCTCTAAGTTTCAAGAATAGTTTGAAAATAACCTACAAGGGACAAGATGTGGAAGATACCTAGTTAATGCACCATCTCAAAAAAAGGAAGATAAATTCAATATTCAGGCAGAAAAAAGTAATCAATGATGTTTGTCCAGGAAAAAAGGCTAAATGATCCTTGCAAAAACAGTGCAAAGATCCTGCAAAGGAAGTGCAAAGACTGTGACCTTTACATGCATAATATCTCAAATGTTCGTTGTCACCCTGGTAATACATGTTAACAGATTTATTTATGAATTTATTTATTTATTTAATTTACAGACATGTGTGGTTATCCTGAGAGGAGTCTCCCTAACAAGAAGCTGACTGTATTTGTGACAGAAGAAGAATGATGCACTGGTAGTTACTTTTCTGGGATAACACCAATATAGGTAACAGAGATGCAGTGTGTTTGTACTGCTTCAGTTTAAGTTTTGCCCTGGGTCTCTACATGTCTTTACCACACTGCTACAATGACAGTTTCCTCCAATTATGGAGCCCTCTCCACCCTGCTGTAGGTCCGTCGTGTCGTCCCTCTTCTCCCAGGCTCGTTGCCAAGGTAAGTTCCTTTTTCCCCCTTCGCTCCCTTGGAGCTCTGTGACAGGGCAAGCTTGCTGGAAAGATGTGCCAGAGCCCCAAATCAAACCAAGCAATGCACATGGTTATTTTTACACAGGTCATACCCTGCATTATTCCCATCACTGGTGATGCTTGCTCCATGCAAAGTTGAGAACGATGCTCGCTGAATCAAGTGAATGGACGGATGCCACTTGGAGGTTGGGAAGTCTACAGTGGGCACTCTTACTGTGAAGATTTGCATGGTAAAAAATATAGTGTTTTTTAGGATCATCCATCAAGGATTTGAGGGCTGTAAACATCTAGGATTGCTGGAGATACTGCTGCAATGCGCACACACATTCTGTTTCTCCATGCCACTGAACAAATGAGTGTCAAGTGCCATATATGTGAAATAGCCAGACAAAATATTTGACACTGAACTCAGGACTGTCCAACTTCTAAGTGGCTGGGGCCTGCATGCTGAACAAGCCACACTAGTGAGGGTCACGCTAGTGCGAGTCTTATTCCACATACCTACACACACACCTTGCACATGAGGAGTCCCCCTCCTCCAGTATTGCAACATGCCACAGGCTTCCCCAATGCCATGGGCTGCATTGCCCCACCCACTGGGGTGGGAGCAAAAAGTTAAAACCATTGTGCGGGGAGGTGAGACTACAAACCATGGGTGTAGTAGTAGCCAGAGTGGCTAGGTAAGAGCCCTGGGAAACATGCATTAACCCCTTGCAGGCTGCACGTGGTTCCTGGGCTGCCAGTTGGATCATCCTGCTAAAAGGATGGGAAGGAAAGTATTTTAGCATTACTACAGTTATTATTAATACCTTAAAATTATGCAATTCTAAATTAAAACTTGATCAAGATCACCACCAAAATTAAAATATATTTCTCTTGTGCATCTTATCTAGTCTGCTAGTTGCTAATGCAGGTTACAGTTAAACTGAGAAATGCAACCTCTTGCTATAGCCAGGTCTTGCATACCCAGAAGAGATGCAGTTGCAATGTTACCTGATTCCAAGGAAGCACTTTTAGTATAGAATTATTATACTTCCTGATCAAATGCCCTCTATTAGAAAACAAAATAATGTTCAGCTAACAAAATGTCTGCTGTGTTCATAAGGTATATGGTGAGTATTATGCTTAGAGTGCTGTTTGTAAGAAGCAATATCTCTTCCTGAATGAAAATGGAACCCCTTTGAGCAAATACACTTATGCATCCAACCTTGCAATTCACTTTCTAGTAACTTACATATCACTGAAACTCAATCTTTTGATGCTAGAAGAGAGCAAAAAACAAACAAAAAAGGAGGGAAAGGATATAAACAAGGGACAAACAAACTTGTTTAAAAATCTGACTATATTTTTGTTGAAAACTTTTTGCATTAGTCACTCATTTCTTGATTGCTCCATAAGCTACTTTCATGTCAGGTTCAAGGGGTCCAGCATATTCATAATCTTCTGGGAGAGTTTCAAGACAACCATCAAGGATTTTCAGAGGTGTCTATTGTTAATGGATGTTGTGTGTATAACTCTTACATACTGCCATAAAAACGTATTTCTTGGATAGAAAATAGCATCTTTTCTATTTGGAAATTGGATTTGATCTTTGAAGTAGCTGGAAAAGTTACAAGGAAAAGGTTACTTTTTCCTGTGAATTGCAGCATAATAGCATTATAATAAGTTTCTATAGCAACAAGATGTGTGACCCTGTACATAAGCATAGCCACACATGAAAAGTTCTAGATATTTACAGTTTTAACAACTTCTTACTTCTGAAATTAATTTTGTTACCCCCGAAGACAAATATACATGTTAGCTTGAAGCTTGAAGTAACAACTTTATTGTAACATATATTTCACTTTCATAAAACAATCTGTGTGTATGAAATTACATGATGATTTTGAACAGAAAAACAAAAGACAAAACTCAGGCTCTAAGGAATCACTAAAGCAAAAATATGTGGTAGGTGTTTATTATTTGTGTTACAGTAGTAGCCAAACTACATTCTAATGTATCTGATATATTTTACTCTATCATACCTGAGACTTTATACATTCATGGTAGAAAGCAGTTCCTAACACAAAGAACTTAGCATGTTTATACACATGCTCTGGGGGGGTGCTTTAATTAGAGCAGCTCCAAGATCCGCTCTAATTAAAGTGCCCAGAGCATCTCGTGTATCAGTGTCCCCATGCTGAAAAATGACTGTGAGGGCACTTAACCAAAGTTTGTCAAACAAGCTTTAGTTAAAGTGCCCTCACCATCATTTTTCAGTGTGGGGACACTAATGTATGAGATGCTGGAGTCTGCTGGAGCACAGTAATTACCACACTCTAGCAGACTCGATTAATTGAGCCTGCTCTGACATGCTGTAATTACGTGTCGGAGCAGCCTTGCTGCTCCTGTGTAGGTGCCTTCCCCAAAAAAAATGAGTGCATGAGTCTAAAAAACATGAGTGCAAGTTGAAAACAAGAGTCTTTCTTATAAAAGTACATGCAGTGTGATCTGAGATGTATATAGCAATGACCATAAAAAGATAAATTATTACAAATGCACAATAGAATTAGGAGGAAATAAGAACAGGCCCCATCAGTGAAAACTGCTTACTGTGTATGTGTGCCATAGATCATATTGAGCAGGGTATGTTACATTCCTCAAGCAGTTAGATGAATTCCTCCCAGTAACTTCAGTGGGCTTTGGGTCCTGCTTTTAGATTGTAATTTACAAATACCATTATTTGCCCCCTCACTTTCTCAAACCACTTATAAAAATATCCATTAAATAAGAAAATGTAGGAAAACAAGAACATATTTATAAGATAATATTTTGTAAAAATGTATCTATATCCATTAAATAGCCCCAAAAGAATAGATTGTCTATGACAGTTACTGAAGATTGTTTTAGCTCAAATTGTAAAATCCTGTGTTTTTAAAGTCATGGGTTTGAGTCCCCAAGTAGCAAGTATGATGCCTGTATGTGTCCACAGAATGCTATTACTTCAGTGTAAACGCTTAACCTTTCCCTGTTGTCTTTAAGGGTTCGGATCAGTTCAGAGAACAAACACAGGTCCTTGTTAGACCTTATGCTCTAAGCCGAACAAATATTAATAAGCTTAGTGTTGTTCAGCTTAGTGGAGCAGTCGCACAGTAAGGTGAAAAACCTTCTCTGACTGTCCTTCACCTGCACAGCTGTGACTTGCAACTAGAGGCTTGGTGAGCAGGGGCAGGACTAGAAGCAGGACCTGCTCAATTCTCCCACCAGGCAGAGAGCAGGCCCACCACTGTGTCAGTTGCAGGGAGACCAGAGAGACCTGGGGAAGCAGCTTCTCTGGGGCTCTCTGATCTCACTGAAACTGACACCATGGCTCTGTACTAAGAACAGAGCTGTTGGGCTTAAGCCCCGGCAGCCCTGTTCTCAGTGCAGAGCTGCTGCAGCTCTACAATACTACACTGATTCCCCAGGGCTCTCTGGTCCCATTGAGCTGCTTTCCTGGGGCTCTCTGGTCTCGGAGAGCAAGGCTGTCAAGGCCTAGTGGTCCCACTCTCAGTGCGGAGCTGCTGTGTCAGTTTCTGTGAGAGGAAAGAGACATGGGGAAACTGCTTCCCTGGGGCTCTGGGGGCTCTCTGAAACCGACATAGCGGCTGCACACTGCAAGAGCGCTGTGAGGGCTTAAGCCTGGCGGCCCCACTCTCAATGCAGAGCCACTGTCAGGTTCAGCAAGACCAGAGTTTTGAGGCATTGTCAGTTTGAGCTGCAGCCCTGAAGCTCGCTCACTCTAGGGACCTGATTTGTTTCTCTTCAGAGCTCAGACGGCACTTACCGCTCCGCATCCCACTGGCTGGGCTGCTGGCTGGCTGGGCAACACCTGAGATCGAAGGGGCCCGATCCTTTTTCCTTCAGAGTTCAGCGTCTATCCCCTGAGCTCAGGTGGAAGCAGAGCTGGAGCTCAAGTGAGAGCAGAGCCAGTTTGGGTGGTGGCAGGAGACACCATGGCCACCGGGTGCTCCGAGGCTGTGCCTGACATACCTGGGAGCAAGGCACTGTGCCCGCCCCACTGTGCCCCGGCATCCTGCTTGCCCTGAGTCAGGTGGGTCATTGCATTCGGGGATACTGGATGACTTCAGATTTGGGCAGAATAGCTGTCAGAAACGGCCACATGGTAATGCAACAGGAAGAAAATTAGGTGAATTGGAACTATTCCTGCCCTAGAGTAGTGTAACTTTAAGCCACAAAATGAGTGCTTTAAGCCACCTAAAAGCTGTTAGCATGCAGCCAGTCCAGAGATTAAGAGCTCCAGAAGCTGACTAAATTTACTGTGTAACAAGGCCTATACACTGGGAGCAGAAACGACGTTGGGATTGAATCATAGAGGAAGGGGACTGGAAAGATGGGAAAGAAAGATAACAATTAGGTGAATATATATGGGCTAGAGAGTGCAGTTAATCATAGCTGTGACCTGCAGAGCAAGCCAGATGTGCCTGAGAAAGGTGGGCAGAAAGCTGGGGTTTACATTGGTATCTATGGTAGAATGTATGATTCGAAGCAGGGTAGAGAAGTTAGAGGCACATAGAAAAGGTTGGTGAATAGAAGTAGTAGAGAAACAGAATACCTTGAAGACTGAATACGTATTGAAAAGTTTTCTCATTGTTATCTTTAATATCTGTGATTCACTCAGGGAGGTAGGCACCATCATTTTGTTAGTTGTTAGCAATGTGCCCAACCAGATGGAAACCTGATCCATGATGAGGGCTCCTCTTAGATGCTACCCCAATGCGAATAATTAGTAGTACTTATAAAAAGGTTTCATTGAAGTGGCAGGTGAAGAATACTAGACTTGTAGATTGGAAGAGTGATATAATATAAAACCTACCATTCAGGCCATTTTAATGCTAGCTGTTTATGCATTGATGTTGCTATATTGGGAAATATGCAAACTAGGGGTGCTCATTTCAGTGGATAGTTTTCCACTGGCCACTCGTAACAAGCAGTTAATGACCATATCTTTGGCCTTGGTGGTTTCCATATTCCTCTCTCGTGATATCTGCTGGGTAATTTGATCTACGTTGGTCATGATGAGCTCCGAGGCTAGGATCTGATTGAGAGACACACAGTTGACCATGCTGTCCATGATATACTGTTTGTACAGTTCCACAACCTTCTGCTCTAAATAGTCATTCAGCATTGAATTGGAGAGGGGCTGCTGATGTTGCATGATGCTGGCCACTCGCCAGCATGATGAATATCCTTGGACTGCCTTGCGACTAAGGTCATTGGTTGGCATCATCATGGATTCTATGGGTGGGGGAATCTCTGATGACTCCAAGAATGGGCCTATCCCACTGTCACAGGTAAAATCCTTTGTTACTGAACTGATAGGCATTATGTGGCCCCCAGCAATGTGCAAATCATTGTAATTTTTGCAAATGCTTTGACAGGAAGAAGGTACAAGATAAGTGTCTATGTTGCATCCTCCACATATGTCCTCAACTGGAGAAGTTTGCCTGTCAAAGAATGAATTCTGGGTGGCTTGCCTTACAGAATCTGTCTGTCTTCTGTTGCGTTTGCTTCCTTTTGAACAGCCTGAGGAAATTAACTTGCCAACAGACCACCTCTGAAAGAGGTTTTTGCTCTGTGTCTCATCCACGGAGGCATATGTGAAGCTGCACAGGGAGCTCATCTCATGTACTATTTCCTCCGAGGCTTGCTTGCTGTAGAGCTTAGAACTCATGAAGTCTTCACAAAGGTAGGGGATTCCACAAAGATAACCTTCTGACAGCATTCTTAGGAAGAGAAGAAAAGAGGCATAGAAGACTAAATCAGGTTGTCATCATCAGCATCATCAGCATCCAGGATAAACTGAATCGGCATTTGGAACAGAAAACACCAAGGAAAGACACATAGTTAATTTGACCCTTAAGAAAACATTGATTAATTTCCATCTGCAGGAGTGGATCCAGGGAGGGGTGCAGCAATGTGGATATTGCCCCCTTCTGCTGCTGCCACTGCTGCCCCGGACTGATCCAGACATAGGGGGAGCCCCAGCACCACTTCTGCTCTGTTCCAGCTACCAGGCCCGACAGGTCACAACGTGCAGGTTTCTCCTTCCAGTGCCTGCTTACCCTTCCCCCACAGGTGTTCTCCATTGTCCAGGAGCAGGCACTGGAATAAGGAACCTGGGTGCCACTATTGCTGTCCTAAGCTGACACAGGCATGGAGGGATGCCCCGGAGCCACTTCTGCTGCATGCTACAGAGAATGGCTGTGCAGGGAGCTAAGCTCAGCTGGGGACAGCATCAGCAGCTTGGGGAGTGGCTTCAACCTGGGACAGGAGCAGCTTTGTCAGCAGCAGGTGGGTCCCCCCTCCTCTGCTTCATGTGGGTACTCTTTGCCCAGTTTCCTGGTGTCCCCTTCTGACTCAGGGGCTCCAGCCACACCTCCCCCCTCCACCATTGCCTGAGGGGTAGTGTGCTGCAGCCCCTTAAGTAAATCCTGGATCCACCCATGTCCACTGACAAATATGTTTTTGTCAGTGAGAGCACTCACCTTCTGTCAGTGCTCTCACTCAGTGCCAAAGAAATGCTTTTCCCATGAGGCTGGGGAGACCAGCAGCTGTGGCAAAAGGGTCTTAGCTCCTACCCATTTGTCCACTTCTGACCTGGAATGGGTAATGCAGGCCTTCATCTAGGAAAGGTTGCCTTCCCCTGCTGTACTGTCTGACACAAGTCCCACATGGTCCAGCAAAGAGGAAGTAAAATTTAGCAATCAGATTTCACGTGTCTAGATCACATCTATAGTATAAGAATACTAGGTGATAGATGAAGAATGACATAGTCTTATTTTAATATCAAGTAATGGTCTTCATTTAATGTTTAATCCAGCTATATAATTTAATGAAAATGCATATCGTCTACCTGGATATGAACATATTTCACAGATACATTTCAATGTACCTGTCTGTTCCAGAACACCAGATGTCAGAACACATTAGTAACTGGAAAATGTTTATACAAAATGTAGAGCAAAGTAATATCACTGTGTAGCACATGACATACCACACATACCAGCTTTGTAGCTATGATTTGTCCTTGGTAAGTATTAAAGGACTTTCACTTCTTCTCAGAGACATTCATGTGTTCCACCCTCTACTGCAAAAATGTTCCAAGAAATACTAGGCCAAGTCGTGGTTCTGCCCTAATCTGACTAGGTAGCCTTACTTATGAATTGCAAGGGAGAGATGAAATATTAACAGATGAGATGAAGCCTCTTCAGAACAAAGATCTCCATTATGAATTAGGGGAACAGGAGAAAACAATTCTCCCCCAGTGCCCCTCAGAAAGTAGTGTGCGTAAATGTGTACTTAACATATATCTGCTGTATATGGGAACAGGACTAGACATGATGGCCCCAAACTGCAGCAGAGACAATTGAAGTTGGAGATTAAAAAGAACTTTCTTACTACAAGGGTGGTCAAACATTGGAACAAGCTACCCAGAGAAAAGTTTCATTCCTGGAAATGTTCAGGAGCAGGTTCTACAGACACTTGGCTGGAAAGGTTTAGTTAGGGTTTGATCCTCTCTTGAGAAGGGAGCCTGACTAGATGACCTTGTGAGGTCTCTTCCAGCCCTGCTTTTCTATGATTCTGGTTTGTCTCCCTGAAAAAGCTCAATGGGATGTACCACAGCCCTGATCCTAGTTAGCAAAACACAAAGAAGCTTGGACTGAAGCTAATGCATATTCGTAAAGGGCAGAGGTCGTTCTCCCATGAGCACAGCTTGCCTGTCCCCGTTAGTAGTTTTTGGCCTCACTTCCCTGGAACAAATGCAAAAAAATCACACTTGAGCTTTACTGGTTTACTTTATTTGTCAGTCACACTGGAGAGCCATGAAAATCTATTGGCAGAATGTAAGAAATTCTGCTCTTATCCTATAAGGAGCTGCCAGAATGTCTCTCTCCTATACTCTTAATAGTGGGGGAAGGGGGATTAGCAGTCATTTAGGTCAGGATGAACATGGAATTATTACAATACTGATTCCCATATTTATTTTTCATGCGAAGTTTGAGAAACAAGAAATATATAATACATGATCCACCCAGATTCTATTTACTACGCACAAGTTCAGCTCTGTTTAAGTAATGTGTGACACTCACTACTGATTTCCTACTGCCAGATGTACCATGCTTTTATCATAAGGTGGTATATTAGGGAACTGAAACTGTTAGTTTCATTTCTTTGGGCCACGTTTTGCAGTATTTATTTTCAGACTCTATCATACCCTTCATAAATAGGGAGGGAAATAAACCCACTTGAGCCATGAAACTCAACAATTTCAGATTTTTTAACTAGTCAGAAAAATCTAGTTGACTAAATAAGTTTTGTAAGAGGTCCATTAACTACTTACTCTCAAAAGAGGAACTCAGCACTTTGGATCCTAGGTGGATAGAGGCACCTAACATGCATCCCCTAGTCAGGCACTAGAGACATCAAATGCCAGAGACAGCTGGGTGTTTAAACCCATGGTCACAGTGTTTCCTATTAACTAGCTCCAGGATCTCTAAATCAGCCTCTGTAGTCCTCTAGCTCCCCTAGACCTGTTTCTTTGAATCACTTTCATGAAGCCAGGCGGAAAATTTTTAGGTTTTTAAATTTTGCTCCTATTTATAGACACAGAAGTCTGGAGCATTTACTTAAAGCCCAATGCCTTCTGTTCCCTATCATATCAATCCAGGCTTCCATATCCTCACTACTGACAGTTGGCTACACACAGAGGATGTGCACTCACAAAGGATCAGCAGTAATTCCTACAGGTTTTTCTCATTTGGTAAGGGAAGAGTGGTGATTCCCAGTTCCACAGTCTGCAAATCCAGCTCTTTTCTCTCCTATACCTTACACAGATCACAGAGTCCCAAATACATAGTGGGCATGTCTACATGTTCATTAATGCATCTTAGATACTGCACATTTCATTTAGTACTTGCTTAATCAAGTACTAACTAAATGCACAGTAACTAGAGTTACTGCACAGCTCTGGTGCATGGTTATTTCGTGATTTTACTGTGCATTAGCCTAATAGCACTGTGCAGTAGACATTAGCACAGTATTTAAATGCCATGCTACTGAGCAGTGTTATTAGGCTAATGCACAGTAAGCATCTCATGTAGACGTGCCCAGTCACTCCCATACAGGTGGAAGCTTTCATGTAAAGATCAAGCCCTTTTGCTCCCTCTGTTCTCTGTGGCATGGGAGGCAGAGGGAGCAGCTGCTCTAGCTTATAGTCTTTACTCTGAGTCATTTTGCTTCAGAAAAGGATTCAGGATGTTTCTTCTGAACTTTTTTCTTGTGTGCTTGTGATTGATTGCATTCTTTAGGAACAGTAGCATAGATTGCACTGGGGCCGAATAAGAAGGGCATTGCCTAGTACAAGCTCTTTATTACTTTAATCTTATTTTTATTTAAAAATAGCTTATGTCTTAACCTAAAAAGTTTTAAAACTGTGCTATATGAGATTTGGAGTTCATTTTCTTATGCATCATCTCTACCACGTACTTCTAGCTGGCTTCCAAAAATAATGGATGCAAGTCATCCCTTCTCCTTACACGGAGAGGTGAAAATCCTGGGGGTTCCTCCCTAGCACTTCCCACCAGCACTCAATGAAGCTCTTCCATGAGATTGAGGATCTGTCCGCAGAGCTAAGTCTCACCTTGTGGAGAATTTGTACAAAGGTTATACTGGCAGGTACTCTTATTACTGAGCCTTTAAGCACCATAAAACCCTCACATCATCTTCCAAACCTGAGGGGCTGTGGCTAGCATGTCATCTCTGATGCACTGCAGCTCCAGTGTGGCCTTATTAAAGGTAAACACTGAGGCTTTGTGGACCCTGGAAAGAGGATGGAGGCATACAATTTCTCTGCAGATGGACTTGTCTAACGCAGATTCCCCAAGATCCACATCTTTGGAGACTGAATTGCATGCCTCTCTGCAGGGCCAGATTAAACATTTAGTGGGCCCTAGGCAAACAAACTCATGGGCCCCTACTTAATACTGTATATTTATATTACCTTTTTTCCCTCAGTAATTACAATATGTAAAATAAGCACAAGCGGGCCCCTTCTTCACTTGGGACCCAAGGGATGTGCCTAGTTTGTCCATGTGTTAGTCCGACCCAGCCTCTCTGGTGTTTTGAGTAGCTCCACTGCCCCAGCATATATTATACAGATTCTCTGTGAGGAACTTCTGCAAGTTTCCAATCCCCTATATTGTTCTCTTTCCAATTTGATCTACATTTTGGGCCAAAAGCTCTAAACAAGTTGACAGGATTACCTGGGCCATCCATTCCAGTGTGCATTTTGCAAGATCTGGAAAGACTCTCAAGGAATCTGCAGTTAAATATTTACAAGGATTTACCTCACCTGACTCTCTTTGGAGTTCATTATCTCCTCTAATTCCCTGATGTGACCTTGATCTCTGGACTGGGCGCTGTCCCCAAATGATTATTAAATGCAAAGTACATAAAAGTCATTGGAGACGGGTTAAAACTCAGAAGCACTCCCTTTTCAGGGCCATTCAGATCTCACTAAGCCATACTCCTCTGGATTGTTCATTTCCTCCTGGCCCCATATAGCTTCCCTTCCTGGCTGCCCCAAGGGCAAGATTCAAGAGGAAGCCTGGAAAGTGCCTGCCAAGATGGTTAGAGCACTTTGCTGGTAAGTGGGAGATACTGGTTAAAAATCCCTCTGGATGAGTGGGGCCTACAAACCAGATGTCCCACTCCCTGTGTAAATACCATAGCTTCTTCTAGGGTAAAAGGGCTACCCTACTCCATATTATATGGAGTAAGTACATGCATAAAGGACAAATTTCCTTCCTAATATCTTCCCATATGCATATAGTAGTGTCCATGTTGCACAGGAAAACACATGCAGGTTTTATGGGTACAATGAAGGGAGGCAGCTTTAGGAATGTAACCTTATAAATAAAGCTCCTTCATCTCTCCTTATATCTATTATCATCCAGTTCTTGTGCAACTTTTATAGTTTCTTGTGTTTCCTAAACTCTGGAAACCTGAATTGCACTCACTTGCCCTGTTTGGTCATTGCCTGGCACTTTGTTTGGTGATTCACACCAGTGCAAAATATTTATAACACTGCCATTTTGATCCAGAATTCTACTAGTCTGTCATACCTGTGCATACATGTAAGTGACTACACAAAAAGTTAAAGTAATGGAGTTTCAGACCCTGTAGTTCTAAATGAGACCAGAGTAGAATGGTCTATTCTCTTTTCTGTACAGTGTCTATAGGGTAATTAACATCTCTGCTGATTGAATCTTACCCTTATGGATTTGGCTGTGTAGATTTTAGTGAACTATCACAATGTGGATATATTTTTATTATTTTTCATTTAAAGCCAGAGAAGGGAGAATGGAATTCTATGTTCTGTCATTGAAAGTTATATTTTATAGGAGTTGGGGGAATGAATAGGAAAGAAGGAAGAAAGTACTAAACACTGATATGTTAAGCAATTATGATCCTATACTTCCTATAGAGTATGCGGGTGTGTACCAGCTTTATGAATGTAACCTTTGAATTTGACCTGATCCTGGCAAATGCAAGGATTAAGATTCTATTTATTTGTAAGCAAAATGTGGTGGGGGAGAGTGGGGGGCAGTTACTTAGATGTGCTATGTCCATTTCTATTTTTGGGGGAAAAAACCCCGCAGAAAACCTGCAAATATAGTACTCTAGCTCTAACGTTCTACACATGCATACATGCACAATTCAATGAGAAAAAAAATACGACCACCATAAAAGTAGCACATTCACTTGAAAAGTATTCCCTACTGTAAATAATGACTTTATCACTTGAATTGAGGTAGTGCCCGGGGTCCTAGTGATCGGCTTGGACCTCAGAATCACAGAGGAACTATGTCTGTTTGTGCATATCTTGAAACCTCATTATAAATCAAGCACAGCGGATCTTTGTTTTTACAGAGGTTAAACTGCAATGGGATTTGGAAGGTTCTTAACTTTTCTGCAAGCAACAAAATTGCAGGTAGCAATTCAGAAAGTACAATCCTTGCAAACGTACAGTGCCTTCACCAAAGGTTATGTGGATTTTATCAGCATAAGTTCTAAGCAGATGACAACAAGCCAAGCCAAGTGGATGCACAAGAAAGACAGTTGTACTTTGCATAGCATATCCCAGTTCTTACCTCAAAGAGCTGCAGCAACTCACCACGTAGAAAAAATAGTACTGTTCTTCCCGTCAATTTAAAAGTTTCTCTGAGCCCATGTAATTTAGTACAGCAATTCACTTCCAGGCGGCTCTTTTTACACTGCAAAGATGGCATGTGCTTTGTTTCTTACCCTCTGTACCATAAGGGAATAGCAGGGAAGTCCCTGGAAGCATGGTGTGCTTTATAACTGACTTTCTAGAACCACACCATGTTAGACACTCTTCCTCTTTTTTTAGGCTGAAATGAAACTTTGTTGTGAAACTGAATGTTGTTGAAGTACCTTGTTGCAACACGCTACACATATCCCCCTCAGCCCATGCTGTCAGGCTTGTGTTCCGTTAAAGACTGTAAAGAGAAATGTTAATTAAATGAAAAAAATACAATAATATGAGGAAATATGGTCATCTAAATTAATGTCTTACCCCAATTTCACTCAATTTATGTAATTTTCCATTTAAACAGACCTAATACGTCATGAATAGGAATGAATTTCTTAGCGGACTTTTTTGGCTTTATTTAGATGTAATCCTTGTTACTTTCTTCCATATAGTATAGCACAGGATGCTACTAGTTCATCTGAATTAGCCTGACAAGACTCGGTATAAATTAGCTGGAAAGGAATTATAAGATTTCCAAACTGGAAAAAAAAAACAAAAAAACAATTGCAAGCTATTTTCTCTCTTTCTTTTATTCTTTTAATTAAATCCTATCTTGCTACTTTTCTTTAAGGATGTCCCCAGGTTTTTTTAATAAAGCATAAATCCTTAACTGCTAACCATCAAAGGTATATGCACTACTTGCAGTGTGATTTAGCTATGAAAGTCATTTACAACCATTAGAATCTATCAAAAAGATAGATAGCCATGCTATCTTTTGTCCTAGGGGGAGGACAGCCTTTCGTATCCTTTCAGAAGATGATGCAAATAACAGCTTCTTAAACTCTCTTTCAGATACACTTCTTAATCTGGCGCAGAGAATCTTACTGTTCACCTTGGCTTACTGTGAACGATAGACTTTGCCATTTAGTATGTAACTAGTACACAGAAAAATAAGAGAGTACCATTGAATTATTTTTATGAGGCACTGGTGGCTATTTGTGACTTGTTCACAAAGGCCAATGGGGTCCAATGCTGTGACAGAATAGCGACAGCTGCAGAATAAGGATTGAAGTCTTCATTATACTGTATTATATGCACATCCTTTACATTTTTATTTATTAATTAAACTTTTCCTTATGCTGTCTCAGAAGCCAGTTTCTCCTTTTTTTTTTTTCCTTTTTACTTCATTCAGCTTTGAGTAACACTAATATATAAAGGCCTATTTATCTCAGTATTGAAAATTCAATTCTGACATTCTGGCATTGGACCTTCCCCCTGCTCTTCCCTAACTCATGACAGTTGGATTAAATAATATTGCATCTGCTCAGGTGCTATACCAGTTCCAACAGGGCTCAAAACCTATTGGTAGGGTAAGATTGGCAATCTGCATTGAATTTCAAGAGGCATTTCTACCTCCAGAAGTCCCTCCTGTGGGAGCAAATTCACAATGGCAACAGAAACCTGTTGGCACTTTGTGCATTTATGTAGGTTTTTCCTGCTGTCTCACCAATACTAGGCATTTAGTGGGCCAAATTCAAGCCTGCTATAATTAAACCTGCTGGAGCCAATAGCAGTATTTCCGACCTGCATGGGGTGAACTTGGCTCTGTATATGGCCAACAGGGCATCTCTGTTTGCATACCAAGAGGTCAAACTGAGTGATATTGTGAATTGTTACATTTCCTTTCAGAGAAATGAGAGGTTATAAATGCATGCTGTCAATTATCTTTCCTTGGATAACTACCTGAGAGGGGAGAATATACTAACATTTCCTTGCATGAATTATAACAAATTCTCTACTTCTCAATTTTATGTTCCCTTGCTTTACCTGAGCTAGGTTAAGGTACTCTTGGTGTTTTGGGGCAATATGCCTTGTAGTTGTGTGACAAGATTGCTTGTATAGTTATAGAAATAGGTTAAGCGAGCACTTGTATGGAATAGTTTAGTCAGGAATGATCCTTCCTTGAGCAGGGGGTTGGCCTGGATGACCTCATGAGTTCAATTCCAGCCTTTTTTCCCCCTATGTTTCTACATCATTCATTTCACATGTTGCAATTTTGAGATCCTTTCTCAAAGCCTCCATACCTGTTGAACTGCTGGGTATCACTTTCTTTTCAATAGTTCTACAAAGCTCCCTATAGTTGATAGCTGTAATAGGGCCCCGCACCCTCCCCATTACTAGAGTGGGAAGGGGAGCCAGGGATACCTGGCCCTGTTGCCCTCCTTCAGCCCCGCTCTCTCCACTTTTTCCTTTCTTACCTTTTGTGTCTCTGCCAGTGCCTCCTTTCCCTGGTTGAGGTCCCTTCCCCCTGGTTTCCTTGTTCCATGGTTCTGATTTTACCCCTGCTGCTTCCTTCCACTTCATCTCTGTATGTCTTATGCCTGTGCCCCAGGGATGACTCCAGAGGGAAACTCACAGGCAGAGAAGTTGAGGTGACTTAAGAGTCCAGTCCTTGAGCTATATATCCATTCACAGAAGTTGCAAGTCTTTCCTTGGGGGAAGAGTAGCCTGTAGGCTGGACTTTCTCTCCTTTTCCTTCCACTGCTCCCTCTTCTCTGCTTTGAGGGCAAGATGCTTTACCTTGAAATGGGCAGCCACTTGGTTAAGGTTGCAGTGCCATTGGAGTCAGTTGGTTGCCAGCTCCTCCCAGCTCTTGATGTCCACATCTGTTTTCTTGAGGTATGCCTTCAGTGTGTCCTTGTAGCATTTCCTCTGGCCACTGAAAGATCTCTAGCCATAACTAAGCTGGGAGCAAAGCATTTGTTTGGGGAGTTGAGAGTCAGGCATCTGCACATAATGTCTGGTCCAGCGAAGCTGGTACTTGAGGATCACCAATTCAATGTTGGTAACATTGGCTTCAGCAAAGATGCTGGCATCATTCGTGTTGCCTCTCTAGGCTTTTGAGATAATGATGGTAGGTCACTCATTTTTCACATTCATGGATGAGGGTAGGGATCATGACTACATTATAGACCTAGATCGTGTGTCTTTCTGAAGATTGTGATCAATAAAGACTTGCTGAAACAATTTTCCAAAGGAGGCCTTGTACAGCGGATCCTGTGCTGGATCTCTTCATCAAAGTTCACTCTCTGAGAGAGGTGGCTACCGAGGTAGGGGAAATGTTTAACTACCTCCAAAATATCAAGACATTCTTGTTCATCCTAATGTAGCAATAAGAAAAAAGACAATTTTAGTACTATAATTTCTTGTAGAGGAGCCTGAACACTGTGCAAATAGGGAAGTATTCAATGTGGATTCAGATTTGGCCGGTTCAGAGGACAGTGATTCAGTTTGGAGATTTGGATCACTGTCCTGAATCAATTCAGCCAAATCAGCTTCGGAAGGTTCGGCGCTGATTCGGAGAGATTTGGTGATTCAGATCAGCCAGGGAGAGACGGGTACAGCCGGGTGGCTGCAAGTTCTCCTGCGGCTCCTCTGGCTGTGCCTGCCTTTCCCTGGGCAGGGGGAGCCATGGGAGAAGCCCCCATGGCTACCCTGCCTAGCCCCATCCCCCACCTGGCCCCAGCCTCCCAACACTTTAAAAAAAAAAGGAAAAAAAAAAAAGCCCCGCACTCACTGGATATAGCAGGGGCTCTTGGGCCTCCTGGCAGACCCCCCCCACACACACGGCCCCCGCTCCCCAATCACCCCACCACCCGGCCCTGCCCCTGATGGCTCCCTGCCCAGCCCCAGCAGTCCAGGAATTTAAAAAACCCAAACAAACATAAAACAGCACTCACCAACAGTAGCAAGGGGTGTGGGGGGTCTGGGCCACATTGCAGAGCCCCACCCCACACAGCCCCCACTTCCTGATTTCCCCCCACCACCCAGCCCCACTCCTGATGGCTGCTCCACCTGGCCTCAGCATGCCAGCAATTAAAAAAAAAAAGCCCTGCACTCACCAGCTCTGGCAGTAGCTCCTGGGGCCTCTGGGCACTCATGGCAATGCCCCCCCTTGCAGCACAGAGAAGTGGGGTTCACCCCCCCCACCTGGCACCCATGCAGCAGCTATCACATCATGTGGGTGCAGCGCGGCTTGGCAGGGTGCTGCACGCTGTCTGGGAACTGGGGCCACTGGGGCTGAGTGGTACCTGGCTCTGGCTGACACGTGGACCCACCACAGCTCCCAGACAGTGTGCAGTGCCCTGCTGAGCCACACTGCAGCCACACCATTGGGCAGCTGCTGTGTGGCTGCCAAGAGGAGGGGGGCAATCCCCACTGCTCCCACTGCCCTGCACTGCATGGGGGGGCTCTGCCATGAGCCCCCAGAGGCCCCAATCACCACTGCCAGAGCTGCTGAGTGCAGGGCTTTTTTCATTTTTTTTTTTAAGTGCTGGGAGGCTGGCGCCGGGTGGGGGATGGGGCCGGGCAGGGCAGCCATGGAGGCTTCTCCTGTGGCTCCTCCAGGTGTGCCTGCCTCTGCCCCAGTGGAGGGAGCCATGGGGTCTATGCCCTGCTGCCACTTGCCCCCTTCTGCCTGGAGCGAGTCATGGCCACATCCCTCCCCTCCCTGCCACCCTGGCTAGGCAAGCAGCAGCAGGGCAGAGCCCCTGCTCTCCGAATTGGCTGAATCTTTTCCAAAGCTTTTCCAAATCAGTTTGGAAGCTTTGAATCAATTTGGAGCTTTTAGTTGGTCTCCCGATTCAATTCAGATTCAGTCCCCAAATTGGGCCAAATCGCTTCCAAATTGAATCGGCTACCAAAGCTTCATACAGCCCTACTGAACATTAAAACCATGATATTCCATGATGGCAAGAATTGGTATAGGGGTGCCCATTTTGTTTTAGCTTCTTAGTGTCCTCTTTCACCTTCACATCGGACCTCTGAAGGATTAGCTTCAAACAGAAGAAATGATTATATATGAACTGTCACACTCTGATTTGTAATCTGTTCTTAAGTACAGCATTCTGAAGGCCATATTTGAAGGTGCATATATTGGAAGGAGTCTAAACTGATTTAAC